AACCTCACGCTTGCCAGGCAGGGGCTGAAGCCACCGTGCTGGGTCCCCGCCCAGCTCCGGGAACTGATTCCTGCTCGCCCAGGAACCGATCCTGAGCTTCCCACCTTGGAACACGGGCGCTCCACACGTGACTGAGGATCTCGCGCATTTCCGCAGGCTCTGCTGGGACTCCCGCTTTTCATCTCCACCTGCAGAGTCTTTTCTCTCCTCTTCTTATAAGGCTGGCTAAGCGTTTGTCAGTTTTACTCACTTTTTCAAAGAAGCGAGTGTTCTGTGTGCTGATTCTCTGTATCGCTTTCTCAGTCTCCGCGGCACGGCCTTCGGCTCTGATACATCGTGATGCATCGGAGCTGGGGGCTCCGCCTGCTCCACGTTTTCTAGGAGCTGGAGGTTCAACCTTAGGCTGCTTATCTGAGCTCACTCTGAGTTCCCGACCTGAGCATTCACTGCTATAAATTTCCCTCTTAAGTCGGCTTTCACTGCATCACTAAGTCCCCGTAGGCTGTAATGACACGGTAGATGACTTGTAGAAACTAATTTCTTTAATTTTATCTGTGACCGATTGGTTGTTGAGTAGGGTGCTATCTAATTTCCACGTGTTTATGAAGTTCTTGTGGTTTCCTGTGGCGAGGATTCCCAGTTTCACTGCCCTGCGGTCTGAGAGCATGCTTGGGACAATTTCAATTCCTCTGCATTTACTTAGGCATGTTCTATGAGCCCGAGAACGTCCTGTGTGTAGCTGAGAAGAACGTGTATTCTGATGTTGTGGGGTGGAGCACTCTAGACATCCACTAAATCCATTTGCTCAAAAGTTTAATTCTACTATTTCATTATTGCTTTTTTGTCTAGTTGATCTGTCTTTTTGTGACAGTGGGTATTGAGGTCTCCCAATACAATTGTGTTAAGGCTCATGTGATTTTTCATGCCCATTAATAATTGTTTTATGTAGCTGGGTGCACTAATATTTGTTGCATATGTATTTGTGATTGTTATCTCTTCCTCTTGGATTGTTCCCTTTAGAAGATTGTAGTGACTTTCTTTATCTCTCTTAATCAGTCTTGGCTTGAAATTCACTTTATCTGCAAATAGAATAGCAACTCTTGCTTTTTTCTGGATTCTTGTTGCACGGAGTATTGTTTTCCATCCTTTAACTTTCAGTCTATGAATTGCTTTTTGATTAAACGTGTTTCTGTACGCAGCATATCGCTGGATCCTGCTTCCCGAGCGCACTGCCGGCCTGTGCCCGTCCCCCTGGCGCACGGAGCGCTTTCCGTGAGGTTATAGCTGACCTGCACTGACCCCCTTTGTCAAGTCAGCTCCCTGTTCTCGGTCTCCTTCTCCCGTTTGCCCTGCCTGGTGGGTTCATTCCACGAGGTTCACGGGCTGCAGTCCTCATTCTCTTTCTGGAACGTCCCTCGGAACATGCTGGAGCGCAGGCTTGGAGGTCTTGAGAGTCTCCAGGGTTCTGTGTCATCCCCATGCCTTATTTCCCCATCAATTCTTTTTTTTTTTTTTTTTTTTTTTTTTTTTGGTACTGGGAACCGATCTTCAATTTTGCAGGACAGTCTCGAGGGCATCAACAGGAGTCTGCCTTCAGAGCCCGCTTCCTTCACTCCGAGCTGTGGCTGACCTGAGGGTTTGTGCTGAGAAGTCTGCCGATTCTAGTAGATTTTCCTTTACAGGTGATCGGTCCTTTCCTCCAATGCCCCCAATATCCTGTTCTTGCCAACTTCTGCGATCCTGCCTAATCTATGGCTGGGGTGTAGGGTTTTTTAATAATGGCTCGCCGGAGCTCTGTTCGCTCACTGAGTGTGTGTCAAAACCTTTTCCACGCTTGGGAATTTTCTGCCGTTGTTCCGTGCACAGGTCTGTTTGCGGCATTTGTAGGGTCTCCTGCCCTTTCACTCACGCCAATAATTAGACTATCTTCCTTTGTGTACAGCTGCTGGATAGTTTTCAGGGCCCTGGCTATTCTTCACGACTGCTCAGCACAGTCCTGGCTCCTGCACCCGCTGTCCTGTCCTCACCTCGGGTCACTCTGCCGCACGCTTCGGTGGCATTTTCATCTCCTGAGTACGTGTTTGAATCCGTTTCACGGATTCTGCCTCTGTCCTCTGCTGTGTTCATGGCTTCCTTCATCCTCCTAGGCGCCTCTGTTTAAGTCTGTGTCTTCTCAAGAGTTGCGAAGTGTGTATTTTTTTTTTTTTTTTTGTATTTTTACCGGTACCAGGGATCGAATTCACGACCACACGCTTGCAAGGCAGGCGCTTATGCCGCTGAGCTAAATCCCCAGCCCCAGCTAAGTGTGTAATTCATGAATATCACCCTCTGTAGTTATCGGAGAGATTATTCCTGACTTTTTTTCTAAAGCTCACTCATCCGCTTTGTCATTTCCAAGGTTACCGCTTCAGGACTCGAGGTGGGAGGCCTGGACTGTCCCCTTTGTGTCCCCTGGTGATCGTGAGTGCTTAGGGCAGGGGCTTCACTGCTGTGGTCCGGCTCTGCGTGGACATGAGCGCCTCTCAGAGGACTCGCTGGCTTCTGGGTGTATCTGTTCAGGCTCCCACCTCTGCAGTTTGCGTCGCTGCCGTCTGGCACAGCCCTGGGCTTTGGCCCTGGCTACAGCTCTGGCTGTGACCCTCAGGCAGCTCAGCCTCGGAGCAGAAAGAACCACCACGCCGTCGGGCTGACCCGGTGCCAGCGTAGTGAGGATGGCATCACACCAGCCACGCGGAGGTACGAATCCGTCAGCTTTAGCCACAGGGACGTGGCTTAGAGTCACGTAGCAAAATCTAAAACAGACCAGGGCCAGGGGTTTAGCTCAGCAGTGTAAGCGCTAGGCCGTGAACTCGATTCCAGGTACCAAAACACCCCAGAAAATGTGTCCAGTCCATTTCCTTCAATATGGTGATTTTAACCTGGCGGGGGAGGGTTAGTGGGAAATAGAGGCACAGGAGGAGGAGAAGGCTGGAGGCAAAGAGGGGGGGACGGGATCAGGCAAGCTGAGAGACTGTGGAGGAGACAGGAGGGGGACAAATAAACACAAGGACAGACAGGGTGACAGCAACAGAACTGGGGACGCCGTTCACGCCCCAAAAGGAAGAGGAGGAGAAGACATGTCCACCGGGGTGACCCTGCTGTCCCAGGGAGGTGGATGGGCACACAGTGCCCGCCCGTGTGGGACAGGCCCAGCAGAGGCCCCTCGGGGCGGCGGTGACCCCAGCGGCCAGCACCTGTACTCCCCCGAGTTTGGGGTGCTCAGCCTCCCCGACACGGAGGCCGCCGATGGAGCTGCTTACAGCTGCTGAGTGGGGCTCAGCGGCCTCTCCTTCTCCAGGGATGTCGGAGCCGGGTGGCTCACCAGCCTCTGCGTCCGCTGTCCGATGCTCCTTGTACCACTGTGTTTCCTCAGGGGTCCCCGTGGAGGCCTCAGGGGTCCCAGGAGTCACCCCGTATCCCGCAGCGAGACAGGGCTGCCGCCACCCCGCCTCCTGCACTGGTCTCTGCTCCTCCCCGGCCTGCAATGCCCACATCAGACCCTTACTGGGCCCGGACCAGCTCCCCGCTTCCTCCCGCTCTGTTCCAGCATCCAGACCCCCAATCTCTGCGCCAGGCCCGACCCGGCCCCGCAGGTGCAGCGCCCACCCCGGAGAGGCTCAGAGTAGGAGGGGGGCAGGGGGAGCAGGGTGGGACAGGAGGGGGTGCCCGTCGCTGCGGCTGCAGCCCGAGCTGGAAGGCAGGTCCTCTCCCCCTGCCGGCCAGGAGTCTGGGCTCCGATCCCGGGCTCTCGCCTGCCCCTGGAGGCACCAGGGCCCCAGGTGTCGCCCGTGGCCCCTGATGCCACCTTCGCCATCTTCCCTCATTTCTCTGTCTCCGGCTCCTGTCTCCCGCTCGGCCATCATGAGAACGTAACTGAAGTCCCTTCTCCCAGCTAAGGCCCAGGCCCGGGCCTGGGCACGGCTTGTCCCCGGGGCCACCCTTCAGCTCACCTCACAGGGCTCGGGGAACCTTCTAGAAGCAGCAGCTCGGACCTGACCGCTGCTCCTTGCTGAGCAGGGGACCTTTGGGTCCACTCTGCTCTGCGGCTCCCTGGGGAGCAGGCACGGGATCGTCCTGCCCGCCCAGGAGAGCAGGACAGGGAGGGGAAACAGAGGCAGCCGCCATGACCTCGTGCTGGCTGGAAGTCCACGGCCCGGAGCTGCGGGAGGAGCCCAGGCACGAGGAGGAGTGTGGGGTCACAGAAAGGTGGGGTCTGGCTGGATCCGAGGCGCCTGGCACCTGCTCCCCCAAACCTCCCAGCGAGCGGGCAAGTTGTGAGGCCAGGCCAGGGGCGCACGCAGCTTCTCCTGGACCCCTGCCAGGCTGGGGTCCCACGGCCCCCCCAAAGCCCAGGCTGAGGGCAGAGCGGGAGCTCCCCACGGCCCCGCCGAGCCTTCGGACAGAAGCAGCAGCCGGGCCCACGGCCCAGTCCGGGTATCCGGCCCCCTAGTGTCCACAGCCAAACCCAGGGGAACCCCTGCCCCAGGGGACCGCCCTCTCCCCAGACCCCACCTGCACTGTACCCCAACCCCGAGCCAGCTTCATCCCCGACACAGCTCTGGCCGAGTTCTGGGTCCCCGAGGGGCTGTGTGCTGCAAACACCGTTCCCAGCTCCCACCGCTTCCCAGCCGGAAAGGACATCACTGCTAGGCCCTCGGATGCCACCCTGGAGCCTGGCGATTGCCTCTCACCCAGCCCTGCACCCCCACCCCGCCAGCCTGGGGCTTTGTCTGGGGAGACCCGAGTTCAAACCCCAGTGCTGCCACTTTCCACCTTGTCACCTCGGGGGAATTTATCTGTGCCTCAGTTTCTACAAAACAGGGACAAAAACAGTGCCCACCGTTTACAACTGTTGGGAGTAAACCTGCATCGCACCCGGCCAGCGCAGCTCCAGACACCCGAGCAGAAGACACGGCTCCGAGCCCTCGGCAGAGAAACTGCAGGCAACTCGGGAGCCAAACTCTGTTTTCTAAAAACACAACACATTTATTCCTGTAAACTGTCTGGAGCCAGAGCCGGGCGGCACCGCCCAAAGCACGAACTTCTTCCTGAAACGAGGGGCGGGGAGTAAAGGAAACTGAACCCCAGAAGGTGTCCCGCCAGGAGCCGAGCCGCCCAGGCTCCTCCAACGCAGCAAAGCCAGCGCTGCAGCGGGCCCCACGCGGCCACCTGGCCCTCCCCTGTCCCTCGGGGGGCCCCGAGGTCAGCCTGGAAACGCTCCTCCGTCACCCCAGCCTCAGCCGTCTCCTCGCTCCCGGAGGTTTCAGCCCCAAGACGAATGGCCAAGTTACTGCCAGGCACGTGTTAAGGCAAATGTTATCATTTCTCACTTGGTCCGAGCCAGACTGCACTACCGAGCAGCACCGTCTCCATGCAGCTTCGGGCAGGGGTGGATGGGCCCGGGAGCATGTCCAGGAGCTCTGCACCCACTGAGGGCCGATGTGTGTGCTCAGGGAGGCTACAGCAGCCTCCGGCGCAGCAGCAGCCTAGCAGGAAGCAGGAGGCCTAGGGAAACCAAAATGGCACACGACAGCCCAGAAGCGACTCGGGGCCTCGGTGCTTAGACTGGGGGGCAATGAGGAGCACGAGAGAAAGCCCAGGGACCGGGGCCACCCTGGGAGGCACCTGGGGCGGATATGTGCATGACCTCAGCGTCAAACAGATGTTTCTCTAGGAAAAGAAGAGGGAGGAAAAAAGATCAAAGAAAGAGGTCCCATGAGCAGCCGAGAGACGGGACACAGCGGGGTCAGCAGGGGACTCGGAGGGCCTGGGCTGCAGACCCAGGCGGTGGGCGTGCCTCCGGCCGTCCTGTCCTGGTGGCCGCGGCCCCAGGCCGCAGGGCGGTCACTCCGTCTGGGCATCGTAGTTGGCGCCCCCCGCCTTCTTCAGCTCGCTCTTGATGAAATCCTCCTCCAGCTCCTTCCGGTCGCTGATCACGAACTCCTTCGCGAAATTCTACAACAAAAGGAAAATGCAGAGCCGTCAGGAGGGCGCGAGGGACCCGCCACGGCTCCCGACGCCGCGTCCAGAGAGAAGACAGGCGGGGTGGTGGCAGCGCCTGGGCCAGGACGTGGCCCGGGAGACTGGAACAGCGAACGGGCACACGGCAGCTGTGGGTCACACAGGCAGGGCCAGATGTAGCTCAGGGCACCAGCACCCACCTGGCAAGGGCAGGGTCCTGAGTTCAAATCCCAGTACCACAAAAAAAGAAAGGAAAGAAAGGCCGCAGGGCTGGGGTAGGAGTTTAACACCGCGACCCTGGAGGAAGGGAAGAGGCAGGAGCCACCCAATCCCCACCCACAGGCCGCCATGCCTGGCTCCTGACATGGCTCTGGCCACTGCTGGTCACAGTGACACAGGGCTTCGGGCAGGTCTGAGGCTCAGCCTGGTGGGGCACCAGGCTTCCAGTCCCGTTTAGTTACTGGAGCATAGCACACATTCATTCAACAAACACCACAGAAGGAGGACAATATGTGTTTATGGTGCCCCGTGGATATGCAGCTCTCCCTCTGCAACCCAGGGCCGCACGTGGACAGGCAGACAGGGTCTGTCCAGTGGCTCAACCGAGGCCCAGGGAGGAACGGCCACTCTGCGTGGGGCTCTTCGGACTTCGATCAACCAGGGAACCTTCAGCTAAAAACACAAGGGTCTCTAAAGGAGGCTCCCAAGAGTCCCTCAGGGCCCCCCGAGGGGGCAGCCTCACTCTGCCAGCTGCCGAGTGGCACGCAGACGCGGCCACCCGCAGCCTCGGCCGGGCCACACAAGATGTCCAGAAAAGGCCAATCCACCACAGTGTGCAGCCAGGTGCTGGCGGCTGAGGACAGGAACAGGAAGTGAGAGCACCCTAGAACTGGCACAACCAAAAACCAACTCAGCTCCCTCCAAGAGGTTTTAAAAAACGCCTTGGGTGATGCTCAGTACTGTCAGCCGGAGCCCCGGCCCAGGCACAGAGCAAGCAAGGCTGCCCCAGGGGCCCCTTCCTCCACTCCCTTGGAGCTAGCGGGTGGTGTTTGTGCAGCACTGTGAATGTCCTAACTGCCATCAACTGGGCCCTTTAAAATGCCAACTGAGTCAGGAAGATCCTCCACCTGAAACCCAGGCGTAATCCCAGATCTCAGGGGGCTGAGGCGGGAGGGTCTCCGTGAGCGCAAAGCCCTCCTGGGCTAAACAGCAAGGTCCTGTCTCAAAGTAAAATTTTTTTAAATACATAAATGGATAATTTTATGGGAAACAAATTTCACCCCCATTTTAAAAAGAAGACAAAAGTCTGTAGACCCGCAGGAGAGCCTTCCAGGTCAGGTTCTGCCACATAAACCATCACGGGGAGCTGGCAGGTGCCAGGCTCGGCTCTGCACACTTCCTCCTGGAAGCCTCCCTGGGCATCGGCTTGGTGTTTTGTTAAGATAAAGCCCAGGGCTGGGCGGGGCCCACCCAGACCGAGAGGCCCCAGGCCTCCGCAGAGCTGTGCTGCTGATTCCTGTGGGCGATCGCAGGCTGAGAGCAGGAAAGCGGAACCGGGGCCTTTCTCAACCCCGGCTGGGGGAGGGCTGGGGGGTGGGCGAGGGGAGGGGCCGGGCCGGGGGTGGGGGGGAGCCTCGCAGAAGCAGGAAGCCGTGGCATCGCCCCGCGGCCTCTCGGGAAGGAAGTCGCAGTCCCGCTGCCTACACAGCTATATATGGCAATGTTAAGTACAGGGGACCCCAGTGCCTTTCCCCAATCCGCTCCAGATTAGATTAAGAGGGAAGGAATTTAGGGCCAGGCTCGTGGTGCACGCCTGGAGCTAGCCCTTTGGGAGGCTGAGGCAGGAGGACTGCAAATTCAAGCCCAGCCTGGACAACATGAGCAATGTGGGGAGCCCCTGTCTCAAAACGAGAGCTGAACAGGCTGGGATGCGGCTCAGGGGAGGCCCGGCGCGCTGCCCAGGCCTGCGGGAAGGAGCTCCATCCTCAGGTCTACGCAGTCCAGAGGGAAAGAGGAACCGCACACCATGCACCCCGAAACCGTAGGCGTGCGGGACGCCAAGGACAGGCAGACAGCACCCTGAGAGGGACAAGGCCAGCAGGGCCAGCGTGGAGTGGGGGGACTGCAAGGTGGGCGGAAAACCACCCCTCAAGGCTGCCCAGAGCGGCCTCCGGCGCTGCACTCCCGATGCCAGCTGCGCCTGGGAGAAAGGAAACGGTTCCAAGTCTTGCTCAGAGAAACTGGGTGACCCTGATGAGCAGGGCCCGATCTCGGCGCCCTCGGCCGGGTGACTGCTCCCTCCACGGGGAGAAACCACGAAGACCAGATCCCGCCACGCTCAGCCTGGCACCCGCACCCCCACACACCCCCAAACAGCCTCCGGGCCGGGGCAGATGATGAGCCCCGAGTCGCTCAGAAAGTGTGTTAGGGTCCCCGCAGCCACGGTGACGAGGAGGAGGAACCGGGGCACTGAGTCCACTGACTTTTTATCCAGACTCGTATACTCCAAACACTGTGGCCTGTGCGTCACGGGGGCCCAGGGCGGTCGGGGTGCTCAGCCTCAGCCACCTAGGTGAGCACCTGCTGGGGGCACCCGGGGTGATGAGGCCAGGGGCGGGGTGCTGGGGTTCCACCCCTCAGTGGAACAGAAACAGTGGGCATTGGGCCAAGCACAGGGCATGGACCCCTGCCGAGTGCCTGGACCCCTGCCGAGTGCCTCTCCCCGGGGCAGGGGCCAGCAGAGGTCCTGGGGCCAGGGCCAAGGCCTGGGCACCAGACCCTTAACCCTGACCCTCCTCTGCCTCTGAGGTGCCCACCCTTCTCCCAGGCCCAGAGCAGCAGTCTCGGGCTGCGCCAGGGCAGCACAGAGCTCTGAGGGTGGCGTCCGGGGCCCAGAGAGCCCCAGGAGGGGCTGCTCCCCTCCCTGCACCCCCAAGTTCAGTTCTTAGCAGGGGGCCTGGGAATCCCTCCTGACTCCCCAGGCACTGACGCTGGCCAAGCGCCCCAGAGCTCCAGGGAAGCCCCGATCCAGGTGCAGATGGGGTGCAGGGCAAGTTCCGGAGGCCAGGGGGCCAAGGAGCTGGACAGCAGAGGGCACGCATCAGGGAGGCGGGCAGTCACAAGGTGGATGGGCGGGCGAGCAGGAGCCCTCTTGGCCCCACACCATGGTCACTGAACTCCACTCCTACGGCCTGGGGCTCAAGCTCTGGGACCCTCAGCTCTCCCTGAGGGTCCCAGAGCAGGAAAAGTGGCCGGCTCTGAAACGCCCCGAAGGCAGCAATCCACACTCGGGGCTGGGCGCCCAAATCCTCGAAGGAAGGAACTGAGCGAAGCCCGGGGGCGCTCTGGGAGGCTGAGGCGGAGCACTGCACGTTCCAGCCCAGCCTGGGCAACTTAGCAACTAGGAAGACTTAGTATAAAGATTAAAAGCTAAAAGGGCGGGGATCTGGTCCAGAGGCCAGGATCAGCTGGAGGACTGGAAAGAGGAGGAGGAGGGCAGGTCGGTCCCACGCAGGGCTGTGCACGGGCTTCCGGTCCCCCACAGCCTGGCAGAGAGGGCACAGCGGGGAGCCCGCTCTTCCACAGCCTGAGGGGCCTGGGGGAGGAGGACACCTGCTGGCCACCAGCTACCTCTGCCCACCTCTGCCCGTGGGTGAGGAGGACTCGGGACCAGGGCGGTGGGGACAGGAGCACGGGGCCCAGCGCCCACCTACGCTTGTTCCCGGCACCTGAAACACCAAGGCTGTCACTGGCTGGCACAAGGTAATTCACTCAATAACAGCAGGTTTTCAGCACAGGCCACTCGTCAACAAGGGAAAGGCACAGGGCTCAAATCAAGACAGCCTGGAGCTGGGCACACCTGTGCCACGCTGCCCGACACAGGTCCACAGCCACACCCGGGGGCACAGGGTGATCCCCCAGTGAGTCAGGCGGGCATCGTACTGGGATCCCTCACCCAGGGTCTGTGGTGTCCCCACCCCTGTGGCCGGCCCTCCCAGCACTGCCTGGCTGCCCGCAGTGTAACCTGACACCTGACCTGTGTCCTCCTGGTGGCCATCAGAGCCCATGTCTCCTGCGGTACCCGCAGCAGACATCACCAATCAACTGCCTACCGCTCACCCCTCCGCCCCCTTCTTTGCCAGAGCTGAGGAAGCCCCCACGTGAGTCCCGGAGCTGGAGATTAAACCAGGCTTCCCTTCATTCAGCTTCTGCCTCCTCAGGGGGCCGTGCACTCCCGACCCCTCAGCCTCACCCACATTTGGGGACTTTTCCCAAGAAATAGTTCAACAGAATTTGGGGTGTTTTTGTGACTGGGGATCGAACTCACGACCTTGTGTTTTCCAGGCAGTGTCAGTAAGCTGTTTCTGCATCTCAACAAAAGATGAGAAAATCAGTACCCAGCATCCTTCCTTTCCCGTCTGCAGCACTGGGCGCTGAACCCAGGTGCTGCCCTGAGCCGTGTAGCAGGTCCCCAGCCCGTTCACTATTTTTATTTTGAGACAGGGTCTCACCAAGTGTTAAGCAGCCGAGGCTGGGCTGGACAGGCCATCCTCCTGCCTCAGCCTCCCAGGGTGCTGGGATCACAGGGGTCCCCGCCCTGGGATAAGAACTGGGGTAGCACACAGGGCTGTTCAACAGGGGCACAAGGCCACTGTCACTCCCCAGTGTGAAGCCTCTGGGGGTCCCCCTACCCTCCCAGTAATGGCCCCTGCCTCCCCACAACCTCACCTCCACCTCAAGTCCTGGCCTCCCTGCCTTGATTTCCCCATCTGCACACAGGCAGATTCCGCAGGGCCGCCCCCGGCTGTTGGCAGATTTCCACCAGGCCCTCTGTGCTGGGGAGCCCGACACGGCCCTTCCTGCATCCAGGCCGCACGAGGCCCCAGGACACAGGCCAGGGCCTGGGCACGCAGGGGCACCCCATGGGCTTGGGGAGGCACAGACACATGGATGAGAGAGCCACCCGGGCAGGGAGCATTGGGGACAATGATGCCTGGTCATGGTGCCCAGAGCCATGGGCACTCGGCAGGGAGCACAGTCCGGCAGCGGCTCAGCCTGCCAGGCCCTGGCCCCCAGCCCCAGGACAGGCGGGGAGAGCGCCTCCCTCTCACCGTTACAGTGCTGTGCTGGGCACACGGCACCCTGCCACCCTGCTCGCTCCTCCTGGCTGAGTCCTTGAGGCCAGGCCATGGTGGACACCACTGCGGGCAGCTCCTGCTGGCCGCAGCCAGCAGGATGTGGGTGAAGCCCAGGGTTTCACAGGTGACAGCTCCCGGCCCGTCCTAAACCCCAATCAACAAAAGCAAAATCAAACCACACACACAAGTGCACACACACGCGTGCACATAGACACACACAGAGACAGACACACACAGAACCAGGGCTGGAGCGGGGCGTGGTGGGAAGGGTTTGGGCTCAGCCCAGGCGACTTCATGATTTACCAAGAGTCTGTCTCAAAATAAAAAGCTTGGGGTGAAGTCCCCCCAGCACCGCACGAGGAGGAGGAGAGGGCCGGGGGAGACAGAGGACGGGAAGAAAGATCAGAGCTGCTTCTTTAATTCCTCTCACAGTACCGAAGATTTACATTCTCCTTTGCTGAAGTGAAAACACAGATTCTAGAGATCGGATTACTCCGCCAGGGTTGATGGAGCTTGCATAGCAGCAAAGGAACACGCAGCAGCCACGGCCCATTCCAGTTTCAAAGTTTCCACTGGGACATTTAAACACAAACGCAAGCGGGGCATGGTGGCGCGAGCCTGTCGCCCCAGCACTGGGAGGCTGAGGCAGGAGAGTCACCAAGAATTTGATGCCAGCCTGAGCTACGCAGTGGATCCAAGGTCAGCCTGAATGAAGCACAGTGTGAGATCTTGTCTCAAAAAGCAAACAACCCACCCACAAAACAAGCCCACAAATCAGAAAGAGCCGTTTCCCGCAGAGCTCTGGGATCACCTCTGCACAGGCCAGCCTGCGGTTAGAGAAGCAGCTTCCTGCTCACTCGCTGCTGGGGACCCTGACGCAGTGGCTGAGTGGCCCTGGGGCCAGGTGGCTCGGGGTCCACGCTCCATGGGGGCCACTGCGCCCCGCAGCCCCGGTGCCAGGTAAGAGTCCATCGGAGGGCGATGACCCCCCAGGAAGAGGGGAACGTTTCAGAGCAGGTGAGTGAGGAGAGGCCCACAGAGGCTAATTCCTCCTGCAGGCGGGGAAACTGAGGCCCAGGAGGGCAGGGCCAGTGTGACGGAGAGCTCCACGACTGCACCGCACCGCTCTACCTCGGTCTCACTGCAGGCCTTGACTTTAAACCTCACAGCACGGTGGTCCAGTTGCCCCCCTGTGCAAAGCAATGGGTGTGCCGTGGGCACCCGGCCGCCTCAGGGCGTGGACTCGCTCTGGACCGGCCTTGTGACTTTGTGGATGGCTCAGGGACCCCGACCTGTGGGCTCTGCTGTGGTTTGAACACTGCACGCCGTGGCACTGTTTTACCAGTCTCAGAAGCAGAGAGAAAGGCTCACTGGCCACTGGACACCCGCCACCTTCCTCTGCTGGGGCCTGGGCCTTCTGGCCGGAGACCTTGGCCAGGGGACAGGATACCCCTGTGGCCACTCGGCTATTAAACCTGGACTGAGCCGGCAGTGAGGACACAACTGTAATCTCAACCCCTGGGAGGCTGAGGCAGGAGCAGCTCCGAGAATTTGAGGCCAGCCTGGAATACATCACAAGTCCTCTCTCAAGACATCAAAAAAGGCAAAAATTATCCGGGCAGGAGGAAAACTGCGAGCCGTGAGACAGGTGCTGGGGCAGAGCAGGTCACAGTGGGCAGCACTGACCAGCAGGGCTTGCGTGGCCGGCAGAGCACCCACCCTCCAAAAGGAGCCGACAGCCCCGGGCCTCGGGAACACAGTCTGGTGCCTGTGAGCCGGCCGGCTCCCGAGAGAACAATCCAGCCCCGCTGGAGGAGCTGGCGAGCACGATATTATAAAAATAAAATCAGAAGCGGCCCGAGGCTCTCACGGGGAGGCTGCATCTCAGAGGAACCGGGGGACAGAGAGGGACGGGGAGACCCTGAGCTGCTTCTCAGCCCCTCCACCCACACACAGCCTTCCCACCGCCAGCCTCCCGAGACCCCACAGACCCTAAGGAAAGCAGACAGGAGCGGGCAGAGCGGCCCGCTGGGGAGGAGAGGCGGGGGGGACCCAGACCCAGACCCTAACCCTACAGGGGCCAGCTCCTCAGGGTGAAGGTGCAGGTCAGAATCAGAAACAGGGACTGCGCCGGCTGGGGCGGGGTGTGTGTGCGTGTGTGTGCCTGTCACCCCAGCACTCGGGGTGTTTGAGATCACCCTGAACTGCATAGCGAGACACTGCCTCAAAAAGTAAGATAAAGGGGCAGGGGATTAGCACACTTGCCTTGCAAGTGTGCGGTCATGAGTTCGATCCCTGGTACCGATTAAAAACAAAAAAGACAAAAAAAAAAAGTAAAGATAACAACCAACACGGACTCACGCAGGATTTTTAAAGGCTCGCTGGCCTCTCCGACTCCCCCAGCACAGCTGTAGCCGTGAGGAGCCAGGACCTCCTTCGGATTCCTCCAGCTCTTCCGATCGCCCGTCTGACCTCTTGCACGCAGCCGGGCCTGCCTCTGAGCTGGCTTTTCCCAGCGCAGCAGCTTCTAGCTAAGAGGCCACGGGGACAGCGGCGAGTACACCTTCACCCCTCCCGAGGGAGCCCCGTGCTCTACCTCAGTCTCACTGCAGGCCTCTGACTTTAAACCTCACAGCACGGTGGTCCAGTTGCCCCCCTGTGCAAAGCAATGGGTGTGCCAGGGCCCGCCTGGGCCCCGCTAACCTCGCTCACCTGGAAGGTCTACACCCTGAAGGCAGATGGAGGCCCCTGCCGCCCTCCCACCCCGCAGAGCCCTCGGGGAGGACAGAGGCCACGCTCGGCCCGGCCCTGCCTGGCCGGGACCGGGTGTCCTTTCTCGGGGTGCCCGGCGGGACCCCAGCCCAGCCGCCGGGCCGCCCTCCGCACGCACGGCCGGCGTACCTGCACCACCTCCTTCACCAGGGTCTTGTCCGTGCCCGTCTTGGCGCGCTGCAGCCCACTGACGTTCTCGCCGATCCAGGTGATGAGGGCGAACTTGGACCTCTTGCTCATGGCGTCCCCAGTGGTGAAGCGCACAAAGGCAAACAGCCGGACGTCATCTGTGCCAACGGCAAGGAGCAGGCTCAGGCAGGGCCCCGAGGGCACCGTGACAGGCGGGCGGGCGGGGTGAGACACTGCACCTGTGCCCGCCCCGACACCGGGCGCCCCGAGCTGTGGCCCCAAAGCGTTCCAGGCAGTCAGTGTCCCCGGGGCAGACCCCTGCCAGGACCTCTGCTCCGGACACCCCGCCTCCGCCGACCCCCAGAGCTTTGCAGCCAGGCTCCGTGCTGCAGAGGAGACCGCGGCCACTTCCCCGCCTGCAGCTCTGGGCATCACTGACCTTCCTGGCCACGACCACGAGAGCGCATGCTACTCCCCCTGGGGGCCGCTGGCACCCGGTGCTGCTGGCTCCATCGCCCACCTCATGCCAACCTCTTCGCTAAACTCCTGCGTCCTCACGGGGCTCTGGGGTTTCTCGGGTACCCGTGACAACAGAGCAGATGGCCTGTGCCTCACACCCAGGGTGGGTTTGAAATCTTCCTCAGACGCCGCGCCTGGCATCCCTGGCCCCAAGGCCCCACAGCCCACAATCTCTGATGGAGAGCTCTGTCTTCCCAGTGGCCCTCTGGGGCCTCCACGCCAGTGCCACGCAGAGCCCACAACGCCACCCTGGACTCCCAGCCACAAACCCGGTCTGACGGCATCGCAGACCTGACCAACCCTGGGGAGCAAGACTCACGGCTGTCACCAGCTCCCATCCCCTGGGACACAGATGCGTCCCCCAGGGCTGAGGACCCAGGCGCAGCAGACCTGGAGCCAGATTCCTGCCCCAGGGCCCTGCCACACCACAGCTCCCAGGCAACAGCCCTGGGCACCACTTACGTGGGCCTGGCACTCGGAGACTGCACAGCGTGTTCCCACCCATGTGTTCCTCATGGCAGCACTGGGCCACCATCACCACCGAATTCCAGAACATTTCTATCATCCTGGGAAACTCCGGGTCAGGAGCAGTCATGTTCCCAGCCCCCGGTGACCACAAATCTGCTCCAGTCCCCGTGGAATTGTCCGTCCTGGACATTTCAGGTAAACGACCCCCTGGACACGGGATGCTGGAGACAGCTCCTGCTCGTGTCCAAGGTTGGCGGTGGGAGCTCTGTGGCGTGGAGGCCACACGTGATGACCACGCCCTCACCTCACCGAAAGGGAGGTGACCACCAGCCCAGCGGCCAGCCACAGGTGTGACTGAGAAGCCATTGTGCCGTGACACAGTCCCCTGGCCCGAGGGTCTGCTGCAGCCAGGGCTCAGGGCAGCGACTGCACACAGGAGACCACAGGAGGCCACTACAGCCAGGGCTGAGTTTTAGGGGAACACTCACAGCCCTGGGGCTGAGCACAGTGGAGCCCTTCAGCACCAGCGGTTCCCAGCGTCCGGGGGCCAGCAGGTCACTCCTGGTCAGCATCTCCAGTGTCTGCACTGCAGCTGTGACTCGAGCGGGAGGTGGGCTGCACGTCCCACAGGCCTCTCCTGGACTCCACAGGACACAGAAGATGTGGGTCCATCTCCACAGTGACCCTGGTGCCCTGGCCGCACCCAGATCCACGCTGCCAGTCCTTCCACACAGGGAAGCTGCTGGGGCCACTTTTGGAGCCCCTGACCCTTGTCCAGCCAGGTACCCAGCCCATCTCCCTCACCCTCCCCCAGCGTCGGCCAGCTGCTCTGTGCCTGGCCGTCCCCACACCCCCAGGTCTCGACCTTCACCTCTCCACCGAGGGAAGGAGCTCAACTTCCTGTTGGCTCCTGGTGACTCAGGCCCAGGAGACTCGGAGCCTGGGGTCGCCCTGGCTCGGACTGCAGCACCCACCAGTGGCCCAGTTACACCCAGAGCTCCAGGAGGGGCAGCTCAGCCTCACCCCCTGGGGGGCTGGGGACCTTCCAGAACCTCAGGCTGAGGTCATTTCCGTTACTGTGGGGGAGCCGTGACGAGGGACGGGCCTGCTCGGGTTTATCTGACAATGTTCGGTCAGAGAAGACTGCTGACACCACAGTCCCTGAATCCCACAACTCAGCTGCAGCGGAGCTGGAAAGTGCAGGGTTAGCAGCTCCGCCCAGGCCCCTCCCAGGGACCCAGGAGGCGGCTCCCGCTCAGCTGGCACCACGTCGGGGGGGCCCACCGCCTGCCCCAGCCTCCCCCCAGCTCTGGGCTACCTGCAAAACACAGGCGGGCAGAGGTGTGAGCTGACCGAGTGCCTACCATGTGCTGATGTGTGTGCCTTTTGTGGGTTTTTTGGTACTGGGGATCAAGCTCACAACCTTGATCTTGCCCGGCAGGTGCCGCGACCCTGAGCTACGTCCGTGCCCAGGACCATGCAGGTTGCACTGCTCTGATGACAAACCGGCCAGAAGCCTGGTCCCTGCCTGGTCCTCACCCACTGTGCCCAGGGCCCAGGAGGAGCTGGTGGCTCTGCCTGCTCCTGAGAAAGAAGACTCGGGAGCCACGGTTCTCAGTGTGGCCCTCGGCCCCAGCCCCAGAAGCACTCACAAATTCCATGTGGATGTGGATGTGGGTTCCCAACATCCGCCCAGGCCGGCTCACCATGCCCGGGGGACCAGGGGTCACCATGCAGGGCTCTGTGCGCCGCCCTTCCTCCCCTCGCTGGTCAGCCTGTCACTGGAGGAGGTATCCCGCTCCCTCCCAGCCCACCTGCCCCTTAGGTGACACCCACCGGCCTGGTTCCCCTGAGGAAGTGTGCCCACCAAGTGCCAGGCCGGAGAGGGGAAGCCACAGCTTCACAGGGGGCCGGGCAGGAGTGGGGCGAGGTCCCTCCCTGGCTCTGTCCCCCTCGGGTCCTCTCTCCTTCCACACCCCAGCTGGCCGCCCGCCCCGGGGCTGGGCAGGGTGGTGCGGACCCAGGGAGAGGGGAGGGGAGGTAAAGCTGACCAGGGGTCAGGGGCGCCGACTTAACAGTGACAGCACCAGGGACCTGCAGCAGTGAGCAGGAAGGGGAGACCACAGAGAGGGCAGAAGGGGGAGTCGGAGTTCCCCGAAATCACCAGCAGCAGCTCTGCTCACTTCCCCAAAGCCAAGAACGGCAAACACCTCAGTCCCCTCCCCAGCACCCTCCCCAGCTCGGGGAGGCTGTGCTCACACCAGGGGGGGGACAGGATCACCCCACCAAGGCTCCTCCCCTTCCTTCCATGTCCAGCCAGGGTCTGGCTCGGGCCTGCAGCCTGGGCCCCGCCTCACTGCCCTGAGGCAATCCTCCTGCCTCGGCCTCCCAAGTATCCCGTGTCAGGATTCCAGGCCAGGGCCACCACCCCCAGCTGGCCCCTATCTTCTTGCAAAACCAGGTCTGGTTTCCTCTGTGGGCCCCAGGGCCAGTCCCCGCTGGAGGACAAAGCCCCTGGACTGAGGGCCTGCCCCGTACAACTGTCTTACACCCAGCGTTTGTGCAAATGCGCTAAAGGGGCCTCTCCCCGTGTGCAAAGCACATCCAAGCACATCCCAGGTGGAGAGGAGGGCGGACGGCAAGCCAGAGGCCATGGGTCGGACCCTCCAGCCGCCCCTGCCCGGTGCTGATCCCGGTGCCCGGCTAGCAGCAGGCCCCATTGCCTGCCCGCGCCTGCCCACGCGCCTGCCCACCCGCCCGCGGGCTGACAGAGGAGGAGACAGGAAGCTTCGCAATTTCCACCCCACAGTGAACTTGGCGGGGTGGGGGTGGGGGTGGGGGTGGAGGCCGGGAGGAAGCTGCCTCAGGGCCCAGCAAGGCTGCAGCTGCTCTGGAGCTGCCGGGCCCACGGGCACAAGCAGGGAGCTCCCGGGTGGACGGGCCGATGCCCATCCCAGGGATGAGAGAGACCTCCGATGCCCCCTCGGATGCCCTGCCACAGCACGGCCACTTCGGGCCAGCAAGAGGGCAGCCCCCAGGCAAGGGAGGACCCCTCCGCTAACAGGAAGTCCTGGAGAGCCCGAGTCCCCACCTTCAGTCTCCTTTGACTAAAAATGCAGAACACCAAAGCCTGCCTGTCTCACTCACACAAATTCTAGAAACATCTTAAAAAGTACCGAAATGTGAATCCCCAGCCGACATGCTGGTGCACCCTTCTCCCAGTTCACAGGAGGCTGAGGCAGGAGGGTCGCTGCAGCCTCCAGGTGCCGCCCGAGACCCGGTTTTCAACTAAACACCCAGGAACAGCGCTACTGCGGAGCAAACGTGCGGCTCCCATCTTGGGTCTACGACCCTGTGCGCCCCGCAGGGTCCGGTCTGGCTCCCGTGTCTGTGCTCCTGTGCAGGGTGTGCGATGCTGCCCCCCCTCCCCTGGGCCCTGACTGAGCCCTCATTAAACACAGCGAGTGACCCAGCTTCCTAGCAACAGAAAGGAAGACGATTACTCCGCGGAGCCCTGGGGGCTGAGCTGATCCCAATACCCAGATTACCAGGAGCACTTCGCTTCCTTAAATGGAAGTCAGTGTGCTGGACCCCCCCACCCCCGACCGGAGAGCAGAGAACACTGCCACAGAGTCCCTGCGGGAGTCGGAGTCCGCTGCCGGAGCACCGGCAGCCCTGGTGTGCACCGCTTTGTCTTCTTCCACCTCTCTTCTGAAGTTCTGCTCTTAGTCACTTAACGAACATTTGACAAGCTGTGCTCCAGGGACTTTCTTGAATTAAAACACAACCTCTACCCTCAAAGCGAAACACGGGGTGTAGGGCTGGGGTGCTGCTCCAAGGTAGAGGCCCCAGCTGCCGGCCTCGGCACCACATGCAAGGAGCACAGTGTGCAGGCACAGTGTGCGGGCACAGTGACGTCAACTCTGGGACAGAGCGGCTCTGGGAACAGGAAGGCAGAGGGGGGCCGGTTTGGGGCCAGCTGGGCAGGCTTCCCGGAGGAGGAGGTGCTGACCTCAGGGATGGCTTGCAGGGCTGGGGTCAGGCTGGTGACTCCAGGGGCGGATTCTGGCCACAAGGCCGAGCTGGGCGCCTCCCTCTATCCACCTCTCACAGTTTCAAACGCCAAAGGCCACAGGGCCTGGACAGGAGCCGGACAACTCCATCCGGAGCA